CCCCCCCCCCCTACCCCCCGTTGATCGCCCGCCGCGGTCGCTCGCTGCCGGCTCAGCAACGCGTATCAAGACCTTCGTCCAACACGAAACACCATCCCACCACCCCACAGCACAACATCAAACTGCAAACAGATTCGACCCTAACCCGGGACATCACCTCTCAGCTGGACAACCACAAAGCTCATAATATCCCCGCCTTCAACAACACTTAATAAGCGTAGTAGTAGCTCAACACCAAACAATAAATCAACTTGACAACCACAACCGGCTCATCAAAGTGGCAACGGCGACGACCAGCTCACCATTACACCGCACCGCTCTCCGCTAGCCGCGACGTCGACGCCGGCGTCCTCGATGGCGAGCTTCGTCGCCGCCACCGCGAAGTGCGTGACCCGGTCGTTGTTCCGCATGCTCTTCCTCGAGGAGAAGTACTTGGACGCGTCGAAGTCCTTCACCTGCCACGACGGGATGAGACGAGAAAGACGAGACAAAGAAAGCAAGCAGCAAACCGCGAGTCACAAGAATAGAATAAAAACCCAAGTAGTGAAGAAGTACACCAGTAAACTGAAGCAAAAAACAATCGTACGCATGCTGAGATACCTCGGACAACACGCGGAGCAAGCGCTAATGTCTACGGCATTCAAACGTTTGAGAGCGCGTTACCTGGAATTGTTCTCAAGCCCTTCAAAACCAGTAAAAAAGAAACCCAAGGTGCATGTTAATGGTTTTACTATAATAGTGCACTTGCGGATGTCGTCCAACTGCGCCGCATACATCCTCATGCGAGATACCATCCTTAGTCTTATTCCACCGGAAGCTCGTGACTTTCGGAATCTTGTCGCCCAGATCGTACCGGGATTCAAGTACGGTGAGACTACGGATGGTCTATTTCTTGATGCAACTAGAGTGGGAAGAGAGATTGCACGTACTAGCTCTTGGCATCTATAATGATGTTCATTGGAAGAAGTATGCGGTTGAAATGAAGGATGGATCTCGCGTAGTGGTCACCACGGATATGACTTGCTTGCAAAATGAGAATGCGACAGCAGTTTGGAACTTGCTGTCTGGTTTTCGATTTGAGTGTGCCCCACAGCTCTTTGCGGAGGACGGGGAGGAAGTCAATCTGACACTTTTCGACAACGTAGAACATGCACTTTCAGAGCTAGTCTAGTGACTGAGTTGTGCCACGAAGTAGGTAGGACATTTCCAGAAATTCAGGAATGGTTTTCGACAGTTTTGGATAAAATTGCTGAGCAACTGGACTTCGCCGTGGAAGGCCCGGACTATCTGCCGCACACGGGCCATCTCGACTTTCGAGAGGCTCAGAAAGCGTTCAAAGTACTTCAGAAACAAGTAGTGTTTACTACAGTGGGTAAGGCTGCAAATTGTATTTGTGTCATGTGTAAAGCTTGTCATATTGGACTAGCGGAAACGGAAGTAAATGGGGAGGGATGCGAACAAATGACTGGGGGCACATTTCAAGAAATGAAGGACGCCATCACCACACGGCAACTTAAATTTCTGGAAGATGAACATCTACCTGCCCCAAAATAATTTTTTCCAGATCCCAAACACAAGACGCAAGTCTAGGAAAACCCATAAACAATCTACCAGATACCTGCTGCCGAAACTCCATAAATATAAGGTAGCTTGTCCAAGTATAACCACATGCTGTGCTACTACTACGGAAGGGGCGGGACGAATAGCACATGCGTGTTTAGCTGAAATGTTACCAGTTCGTGATGCACTGTGGAGAGAAGTTGGAAGCTCCATCGGAATCGATTCAGAGCGATCCTGGATCACTGAAGGTCGAGACAAAATTCTGGAGGTTCTGACCGGGGCAGATCAGATAGCGCGTTCAACTGGTGAGTATTCACCACTCACTGTAGAAACGTATGATTTTGTGGCTATGTATACATTCCTTTGCCCACCCTTTAGTCCAATTGACAGAATTCATTGATCTGGTGTTTGATTCCCAACTCCGGGATTCTGAGTTTCGTTCAAGTTCTATTACCGTACGGTTTTAAGGATAGCTCTCCGTTCGTTATAAAGGAAGATGTACATTGGTCCAAGCAGGAACCAGTTCCGGTAGACAAGGACAACAAGAAGGGGAACACGTTGCTTATTGGGCAAGATCGCCTATTCCGATGGTTTGAGTTTGTTTTGACGGAAGGGTACGTTCAGTTTGGACCTCATATGTATCGCCAATCTTCTGGTATATTCATGGGATCCTCACCTGCACCTGATTTTGCTAATGTATTTGCTTGCATGCAATGAGTTAAGGTTTGACAAAGTGATTGTCACAGAGTTCAAAGCTGCTGCGCAATCTTGTGGTGACAGTCGTCGTGAGCCTTTTGTACCCTCGAGTGTTCATTGAACAATACGGCGTGAGGGCAAAGCGATACATTGATGACATCATCACTGTCGCTCTGGCGTCACAAGCCAATGGTTTAAACACTTGGGGATATCATATACAGCGATAGTACTCTATACGATCCGGCAGACCTGGGCATGAGCGAAACGTTAGGAGGAATGTACGACAAACTGATGAAGATGGAAATCTCATTCCTACCAGTATTGAGTTGAACCAAGAACAAGTAGGACATAGCGCACTTTGTAGGCATGGAAATAGTCCAAGACATGACAGGTTCTCAGCCACGTATGTATGATAAAAGAGATACTATGAGCTCTTTGAAGTCGTGTCGTAGGTTTCCCCACATTGAGACAAAAATAAGTCACCGCTCAAAGTATGCCGTATTGCATAATTATGCAGATTTGCCGTCCGTTGCACCCGCGTTGGATATTTTGAGCTAGCTGCAGCAAAGCTGATGAGGGACATGTTGATACATCATTATGGGGAGGATTATCTAGTACTAAGTTACACAATTTTCGTCAAGCTTTCTTTACCAAGACACCTGTATATATTCCGAATTCCTTTAGTTCAGATGTCAGAGTACAGTTTTGGTATGGTGTTGAGCACAACATTTGGTAACGCATTCGCCATGGGGGTGATTCATGAAGTTTAACTGTAAGAATAAGAGTAGAGGTAGGAGCAACATGATAGGACGTATTTTGTCGATGGAAGTACAGATAACCAACGATGTTGGTATCGACGCAGGTAGCCACTGTGGTGTCAATCAGGATATGAGGATTGATTTGAACGTACTATTAGAGACATGAGGATGGTTGAATGGAACTCAATGGTATTGTTAGAATTCTCTCCGGAAGGAAGGAATGTAACGTACAAAATAAAACCTAAAAAACATCAAAACTTTTTCAATCACCCAACCCCAGGGTGAAAAACAATGGATACCAAGGCATCAAACTGCCTTGGTAACCATTGACAAAGGGGAACACAGCGCCCAGTGTCCCTCGAAAAATATGACGAAACAAAATCTTCTAATCTCAGATCAAATGACGCCACCTGACCAGGTGAAAACTTCTTCAACAATAATTTCGAAATCTCACATCAAATGACGTCATTTGACCAGGTGAAAATACAACACGTCGACGCTCTCCAATTCTGCATTGAGCAGACGGTCAGGGGAGTCCCCTTTGCACACTCTCACGCTTCATCACTACCGCTAACCTCCCATTGTGTTCGGAGCAGCCGGCATTCGGATCCCTGCGGTGGTACCACATACATAGCTCTCCTCCGATAAGACTTGAGGCAAGTCGGGAAGGCTGTATCGAGTTTCGTGCAAAGTCGCTCACCCATATTGACCTCGCAGCTGACACCACCTTCTCCTGCTGCGTGCGTATCAACTCCCAGGTGTGTATTTAGATCCAACGCGTGTGTACCTTTCGTCGTGTACCAGTTAAGACCCACTACAATCGACCACTACTCGATGCTGCTGCTACTGCCCTTCATGAAGGATGCTCTACAACACGGCTGAGACACGCTGCGAACGGTCTCGACAACACTCTTCGACACACACCGTTCAAAGAAAAACAGGGAAGTTCTACCTACATTAACTGCAAATCTACCGCTGTACTGACCGCCGCCTGTTCATTTGCCTCGACGATACGTTACACACAAGACTAAACTCTATTGCTGTAAATCAGTATCACTCCTAACCTACTATCCTATGTATCCCCCTCCTCTTCAACGCGTTTCACCTACACAAAGAACAACATAACATTGTAGATTTCAAAATGAGCGGGAAACAGCCACACTCAAATCTACAGTACAACGCCAACGGTTGACATAAAAAAAAAAAAAGTGGTGCGTGTACAACAGTCCTACAGCTGTAGTACAAGTCGCCTAACACAGCAGCGAAGTACTTTCTAAAAACAGCAAGTTGTCAAACGACACTGCGCCATGTTCCCCGTGAATGCCACATTCCACATCAAATTAAGGATGTATCTGCCTATACAGATAGATGATTTGTTCTTAGCTCCAACTGGCATTACTGATAACTCAGTGTTGGACTTACACAAACTCAACATGAGCCAAGTCTCCATTTGGTTTCAATCCACCTACTGAAAAGACTTCACCACATCCCTTTCGACTGAGGTTAGATCTCGAACGAGTGGTCTTTCTGTGAGGTTATGTTTACTCTCTAAAAACCCACGATGACATGATATCAGCTCAGGGAGACAGACGAAGAAGCGACAACAACAAACCGCGGGCATCAAAAACAAGAGAGAAAGAAGCTACAACATGACATCGTTCCGCAGCAATCACTCCTTGGTGATAATGGTGTTGTCGTGGGCAAAAAGGTGTTTTTCGCAAGCGCGGCTCGGGGTGTGAGAAAATTCCGCCGAAACGAAAAGCATCTTCTGCGAAGCGAGTTCCTTTTCGTATTGGTATGCTTTTTCGATTATCATGTCCCTTTCCTCCAGAGGGCCTTTCATCCCCGCCTCTGCTAGCTCTTGCTACAGCGTATTGTCGCTCCGTATGTAGTCACATAGGGAATTCAATTCGGCAGCCTCCCACGGAGGTCATGCGCTCTATATCCATCGTTTAGTGATCGGGCTCCCAAAATCGGTCCGGTTTGTGTGGAATCCGCGAACAGGGGAAGGTGCAGCCCTCTCCCAAGCCACCGAACGTGCATGTGCATATTCACGTCGACCCGTTCAACGACGCTGGTGTGTGTTTGCGTTTTGCAGACAAGACGAACCGGTTCACACACAGACTGCTGCTGCTATAGTACAGTACAGCAATGGTAGCAGCGACCGAAGGGGCATTGGAAACGAGTGAGCCAAAAAATAATTGAACCAACGACTCAAAAACAGACAGAAAACAACCCTGAACACCGCCGAAGCAAACTCAAACTCGTCCGTGAAGGCACCTCTGGGCCTCAAGCGGTAAAACAAAAACGACAACGGCAATACACCTAGTAGGGCCCACGCCCAAAACACTTCACCCACCCTTACCTCGGACCCGATCTGACATTTGAACCGCTCAGGATCGAAGCCTTCGACCCTATTAATCGAGCTCTCGCCCTTGAGCAGACCCTCCCAAAACGCCTCCACGCCGGTCCCCACCCCCGACACCACCCCCAAGCCCGTTACCACCACCGTATTCGTGCCGCCTGCCGACATGCCAAGTCCGCCGCCTCGTCGTCCTTCCTGCCTTAGCGTCGGTGCTGCTGCTGATGTTGGTGCTGCTGCTGTTGCACCGTGCTGCTGTTGTTTTGTTGTTTGTTGTTTGGGGAAGAAGGCGAGACAGATTGATTGGAAGAACGGGGGCGGGATATCAGAAACCTGCCTGCCTGCGGTTGTCGCGAGTGGGTGCGATGGGTACTATGTAGGGGGATGAAATGCTATACAGTAGTAGTAGCCGCGTGCTACTACAACAGCAGTACGCAGTGCATATTAACGCAAACGTTTTACCTTTTGGTACCAATTTCACGTAGAGCGTTGTGTAGCAATTTTCGTCTCCAATGCTCTTCGACTAACTGATTCCGTATGGTGCATGGATCTGTTGATGCCACCTCTGCTGCTGTCTGTGGTGTTGGAACCACGCACACGTCGACGGGCAACGAATGGAGCTCTCCAAAACGCATTTTGGCCCAATAACAGACGATTTGTTGGCAGCACTTAGCAGAGAAGAGGCATGCACACATACACCTGTGCTTAGAATCAGGTGCGCCCTTTTTATCATGCGCTCTGCGGCTAAATCAAGCGCGCTCTGGCGAGACGGTCGTGGGAGAACATTGTCTCCCGGGATTCGGAGGCACTCATGGCCACGGACACTACAGCCGTCTCTCATTGTTCTTCGGCACTCATCATCACGGACACGACTGACTGCTGCACCACCCAGCCGCCTCTTGCCCAATGCCTCCACGGAGGTGCCTCGCTCGCTCTTTCGTGAGCCAACATTTCCAAACACAACTGTGGCAGCAAGGCCAAAGGACAGACTTTTGAATGGATTTTCTTTCGGTTCGTTGGCGTTTTACAGCCCCGGGCTGTTCTTTTTGCGGCAAATTGTTGGGGGCGCGCTACAACGGGGCGTTTGCACACAAACCCACGGACGGCATGTCATTTTGGCAGCATCCTCGTGTGGTGTTCCAGTTGGTGTCCGTGTTGGCGTTTGCAAGCAGGTTGCTCACATAGGGCGATTTCTTCCATCGACGTCGTGTGGGTCAAGCTCAGTTTGTGTTGCACAGCAGGTGCACAAGAGCAGAAAAGAGACAACGCCGCCGGGGGGAGACCTCCCGCCCCGGGGCATTTTCGTACCTGACAAAGGTCGCACCTCTACCTTTGAAATAACCACGGGGTGTTTGTTTAAAAGAAAAAGGAAATACTCCCCCGCGGTGCTAACTCCTTGGACATTGCGGCATAAGTTGGGATACCCCGGCCACACGTGCAGGAACACCATGCACGGTCTGTATTTTTCTGTGGATTGATTGCTAGAGATTCTGCATAGACTAGTCTACATACAGTCAGTAGCTCGTTTGTTAGAGACCATCGTCCCCTTTCCAGTGGAGTGTATGCATCCATACAAAGCTGCAAGGTTTCGCGGTGTCGTAAGCAAAGCCGACATGGGTAGCGTGCGACTGATGTTGGGTCATCGTACACACCCTCAAGCGGGCCTGCAACAACGCGATTGCGCCGAAACAGCACATGCAGCATTATGCACGCAGGATTGTGGGTTGTGGGAATCGGACGCACTTCCACATTTATTTATTCTTAGAAGCAGGCTATCGGCGAGACAACAGCATGTTGCCCAACCCACCCTTTGCGGGAAGGGCGGCTTGTTGGATGTGGTGGAGTATTCGAGCTATGAAAGTTAGTCTGCCAGGGGTGCGATTACCCACAATCTTACGGTCAACCAACACAGCAAAGGCGCATGTTTACAAGACCGCCGTTTGCCAACGATGTTAGTCTTCACCAGTTCGGGAGCCTGAGCCGTTGCTCCCGAATTTATTTCGACGAACGCTTTCTGTTTTTACTTTCTCTCTGCAAACGAAACCGCCGATCCCTTTCCTGAAAACGACGCCGAGCTTCAAGCACGTCGTTTCACGCCCACCGCATGAAGGAGAAGGACGAATACACATGCCTTCCCCCTCTCTCAGTCCAACCCTCACCGGTCATGCCTTACAGACGGATCACACACCAAGATCTGGGATCCAAAAATGGAAAACCCAGGAGGTGAAAATATAGTCAAATAATGGGTCTCATCACAACAGCAGCAGTAGTTGTGGCGGGCGCACACGGACACAAGCCGGGCTGCAGCCACCAACCTTTTCAGCTTGGCAGCGAGGACACATGCGACTCCACCCGCAACGACCCACGGAGTAAGAGGCGTGAGCGAGCCTCGTCCGTGGAGATCAGGGCGCACTAGACCGAGGGGATTGACAACACGTGCGCCCTCTCCTTTTTTCTGCATCCAAACCATCGAAAACGCATGTTGCAACTTTGCGCCCGTTGCTTGAGCTCCTAAATAGATACCGGGCTCAGCGCTAGGGGTAAAAGCACATCGTCTTACTTACCCAGGAGTGCCTCCATGCACGCTCGCTCCTGGTGCTACTGCTGCTGCCGACACCGCCACCCAGGCCCGTCGTCGGACCCGGCACGAAGGCCGTCACAGCGACCAAGGAGGTGAAGAAGATCAGGTAGGACGTCGCCATTGCGTCGCCTCTGTCCGTCCAGCGCTCCGTTCCTCTCTCCTCTCCTCTACAGATTCAACGAGTGGCGAGTGCCTGTGGTGTGCGCCTAGGTGGCGAGAGGGCTGTTGGGCAGGTCTGTGCTGCACAGCAGTTATGTGCGGCGAGGGCCTGAGATACACGGAGCCTCAATTTTTGGCGTATGTGGGACCGCTAAGCTACGGTCTGCGGCGCCCCGCTTCCGAACATCCAGCATTAGGTTGGCTTGTCGCACAGAGACACCGACACAGAGAACCCGGAGAGGGAGGGGGGGAGAGCATATTGCGCGCCCACGTTGTTAAACACTGAGCGTGTTTTTTCCCCATTTTGAAGGAAGGAGCTGAAAAGGACGCATTGCCGGTGGAGAGCGTGTCGGAAACTCTCCTGTCTTCTTTCTTGTTGTTCCGCCCAGGCAAAGACCTGAACGCTCAACGATGGTGAGTGTCCCAGCTCCACCTTAGCTCCAACGCTCGCATGACCTACTGCTATAAGGTGCTATGTACTCCCCGTATGTGTTGGCGGGCATTCTCAATCCGAACACCTTTTGTAGTCGGCACTTAAGTCACATCTGCTTCGCATAAAAAGACGCCGACGGCGAGAAAATGGATCGTTGTGTGTTGTCTGGTAGTTGGTGCTAGGCGCGATGACCCTCAGAGCACATGGCAATGCCAACAGCAGCAGTGCACCTTCGTTATAATGGACACCATTGAACCGATCATTGTCATTCGAGAAGAAGTAGGCAGACGTGGGAATTCCATACCGTTACCGGGGGCAACGAAAGTGTGCAATGGTATTGCGTTATACATGCAGGATGTACATGATGCGAGTATGTCTACAACCGGATGTAAACCTACAGTTAGGGGTGTCAAAGCGGCGGAATTTGGGGCCAAAAAAACGTCCGGTCCATTCGGCAAAATTTGAGGGGGGCACGCGGATTTGGTTCTTTTTTGGTTCTTGAGAATCCCGCTGTTAATACTGAATAAACTATACATCAAGTCAATTTGTTTGTACAGGTAGCTCTGCGTCCACACAGCAGGATGGCTCTTCATGCGTTACACACACCTTGATACAGGTCCAATAGAGGTGACTATAGGATTGGATTCTCTTGAAGTTAAAGGGCGGACGAACAACACCAAAAAAACATGGTTCTTTGGGCTCTTTGCTCCACGCCCAAGGCGACCTTTGCTCCTCTTGAAAAAGCGACCCAATAGCCCTCTACCTTGGGTTTACAGCTATACTACACAACAAACCGCATCCGAATCGCATCAGCCAACCACGAGATCTACTTGTCTGAAAACGGCCCCTCCAGGGGGGCTGCAGTGCCCACACCAGCAGACCCTCCCAAAAAAAAAATCGAGGTCCGCGCCGTTCGGCAGCAGGAGGCGCGCTGCGCGAAAGCTGAATCAAAACAAAACGAAGTTTGAAGAGAGGACGGGGCAGTGTATGGTTGCCACGTCAGCAGAAGATAACACGCGGCGCGCTATCGAACGCGGCAGCCTCCCCGTCGTAGAGAGAACGCTGGAGGAAACGAAGGAGGAGTTGGTCAAAAATAAGAAAATTGTGGAAGAGAGCCAGGCTCAACCTCGTTGCCGCCGCCGCCGCCGCCGCCGCCGCCGCTGCTGCTGCTGTTTTTTCAGCAGCAGCAGCGGCGGCGGCAGGTGTCTGCGTGGCTTCACCGCCCGGCTGCTGCCCGGGTGTGTCATGAGGCATGTGTTCTAGAGTGGGACCGCGCAATGGTGTTGTGCTGTGCCACATAGCAGGGCGCAAAGCACACAGGCGAGCCGCGCCCTCGCGCGTGTGCGTCAGAGGGTCTTTTCGGGAGGTTCCGACGGTTTCGTGCAATTTCATTGGTTGGTCGATTTTCCATCAGCAAGATCCGAGGACGCTTTTTCGAATTTTTTCCTATAGGAAATTTTCCGCTTTGACACCCCTAACTGTAGACTGCTGTACTGCTGCAGGTTCATGTAGAACGACCAATAGATGCGGTAGAGCGCCGTGGGTGTCACTGAACGGAGATGGAACGGCGGTCATGAAAGCAGGGGATTGTCAAGCAAAAGACGTAAATCACGACCTCGGTTGCGTTTTGTGTGAAGGATCCCCCTGCGGTATCTTCCATTGGAAGTTCTGCAACAAACGCATCATCCAATCAACAACCTGCAGCAGTAGCAGCATCACAGGGACCACTAGTGGCAAATGTGCGCTACAGCACGACAGCAGCGATTGATTGGTCTCTTTGTAGATAGGGCAAGAGACCATTTGACAGGCAACAGATAACGGCTACCTGGTCAGAAGCGCATCATCAGTGTAGTTCAGAGTTGCAAGGTGCCTGGGTTGCACAGGTTTTGGTTGCATTGCATTACCGCCACATACGCGCCCAAAGGTTTCAGTATCAAGAGCTGCGAAAGGACACACCGCTTTTTGGGTCGGTCGACGGAACCTCGCCTTTTTGACGAAGCTCTCTGCAGGCGCGCCTTCCATACCGCATGCTCTTCAGCTATGGCCCATGTACAGCCGTTGTTTTTCTTGTTTGCCCATCAAGCCAATTCCTCCCCATGACGACACAAGACGAGACGACTCTCACTGCCCCCAACGTCGTCGTTGTGTTGTCACTCCTGCTGTCTCTTGCGTCCTTGGCTTCTCGATTCTCACCCCCGCTCGGTCAACTAAGATTAACTTCTTGCTCCTCATCAGCCGACAAGGCAAGACCCGCCTGACCAAGTGGTATCAGACCTACTCGGCTAAGGTGAGAAAGGGGAGAGACCGCCACAGGGACGGGGGTAGGAACGGAGGGAGGGAGAGACGGAGGGACACATTTGAACAAGAAAATCATGCAGCAGCGACCACGGCCAGCGGCGTTGCTGGTTGGCACGCGTTGTGTTTTTCGAGAGGTATCACAGGGTTTTGAGATGTAGGGCAAAAAGGGAAGCCATCTCCTTCGGGAGCAGCACAGATAGGTCGCTTCGAACAATCGGTGGCATGGTATCGACACAACGCCTATACGCCAGTGCCGCAGCAAACCAGCACACCCGACAAGAGTGAGTGTTCACAATGTTCGTACATAATGACTTGTTCAAGAAGTTGTCGACACGAAACATCTTGCTAGTTTAGATTTGGATCCAAGCACGTTGTTGCTCTTGTGTCTTATTTTTTGCTCCTCTAGCGGCAAAGATTAAACGTGGGCACCCGCCCGAAGGGGTCAAGAGCGGAGGTCTTGTGTGTATCCCCGGATCCACCGGCGTGGCTGAAGGAAAACTACCACTGGATGCTGTCGGAAAGAGTAGATGGATGAGCAAACGCCACGCAAGCCTTGGTGTCTTTCACGGTTAAAACCGTGAGGGAGGAACCGGGTTGAGCCTGGGATGCCGTCTCCCATACGATCACAAAGGAACACTACGATAGAACCACAATGATGTACCTGGTATTCTATGCATACAACAAGCAAAATTGTCTCAGCGAAAATGATGGAAACGACGACGACGTCGGCGGCGGCGGCTGTTACCACCGCAGGAGAAAGCACGCACGGTGCGGGAGATCACGTCGACGGTGCTGGCGCGCGCCCCCAAGATGTGCAACTTCGTGGAGTGGAGGGATAAGAAGATAGTCTACAAGCGGTAAGAAGACGATGCAAGACGAGTTTGCATGGCAAACATGGGTGTACAGACCATACAGAGTGAAATGTAGATGCTGGTGTAAAAATGTAGTTGCGCAGATTGGATAGATTTTACCGACGTTTTGAGTCAAACGAGTGCTGTCTTCATCTTAAGGCAAACGTACGGCGAGGAATGAAACACCGACAACGAGTCGATCAAATGGTACCTACACACGGCAGAGAGTGACGAAGACAATGCAGGAAAGAAGTGTGACTACCGCCTGGCTCTCCGCGCTAAACGAGCCCGCCTGTAGTTGGCGGCGGCATCGCGTGTTTTGGAGTGCGCGGTCGTCTTGTAGTCCTGCCACCCTCTACTTTCCTTTGCCTCGCTGATCATCGGTGGATGACAAGGACGGCCTATTCCTCGTGGGTGGTGCACCGTAACAACCCTTTCCCCATCTCTCGATAGCGTATTCCCCCGCGCGACAGCAGTGTTTTCGCCGCCGCAACCTCTCGTTGCGGCTCATGGGACTAACTGACTTGACTCATGAAACCTACTGCTGTACACGGCCGTACAACTCTCAGCGCCGCCATTCCTTGCACCGCTCCCCGCCCCGCCCCACACATGCTGCTCTTGTTTCCTCGTCTCCTCGCGCGCATGTGTTTGGGGCGCTACTCTACTCCTGCTGCTGCTGCTGGCGCGTCTGATTTCGGGACACTCACACACAACACACGCGGTATTCAAACCACCTTCAACGCCAAACGCATTCGGTGGTGGTGGGCGCTCGAAACAAAACTAGGTATGCGTCCCTGTTTTTCGTGGCGTGCATAGACCAGGACGACAACGAGCTCATCACCCTCGAGAAGATCCACCTCTTCGTGGAAGTGCTGGACCGTTACTTCGGGAACGTATGCGAGCTAGACATCATCTTCAACTTCCACAAGGCGTACTACATCTTGGACGAGCTCTTCATCGGGGGGGAACTGCAGGTCGGCTTGTTGGTTGGTTTGTTGTGTTGTTGAGTCTCTTTTTTGTTAACAAACAAAAGTTGAAACTTCCTACTTCGCTCTTTTCGCCGTTCACATACGGGTCGAAGCATTTTTTCGTTTTTGCGGCGGCGGGCCAAGGCACGTAGGAAACGGGACCGCCGTTTCGCGATTCTTGTAGTGCACTGCGTGCTTGTCGCAGAAACGAGTATGTGCTAATTTATACGTTGTTGTTGCAAGCGTTGTTTCTCCTTGTCATCCGCGACCAAGACCTTATTAGACTACGCCAATTGCTGACAAAGGTTTCCATCAGTAGCAGTGCCGCGTTCGCATTGACCCCTTACACTCGCTCTCCCCACTGTTGGTAGGCCGGACTCTCACGTATACCTGCACCCAATCAAGCTTTATCGTTACCGCCCCATACACTCTCCCAGAAAGGAACAATTGGCCGTCAGTGATCGGTCCTGTAGGAACAATGCTCCGTCCTTTCGAGTTGGTGAGTGGTCTAACCGCTAAGGCGTACATGAGCACACACACACCCTCCCCCCTACCGTCCATTTCTCGACCCCCAGGAAAGTTCGAAGAAGGAGGTGTTGCGAGTATGCTCTCAGATGGACGAGCTGATGGAGGAGGCCAAGGAGGAAGCAGCGAACGGAAACCAGGGGCCATCCCGCCGCCGGTGACCGCGACACACGCCGACATTTCACTGGCGATTGGTCGCGCTCCCGCCGGCCGACTGCTCTCCTCAGGGCTGCTGAATGCTTCATGCTGCTGTGCCGCCTTCGAATGCTTGATCATCTCTTTTTTTGTGTTTCTTGTGCAACGTCTACGGAAAGGTGTACAATGTCGCCAACAGATTGGAATTACAAAAAAGTAAAAGATGAGGTTTACTTGTTCCTTCGGAGTTTGTATTTTATTTCTTGTCTTAATCGTTACCTATTCAGCTCCTCCCACCCCTTCCTTTTTGGGCGTTGGCGTCGTAGTTAGGTAATATGGTACGTGTCTTCCTCGCCGCGCCCGTTCATCTATCAGTTCGTTCGTTCGCGGCTTCTGTTTGTTGCGCCGACGGGAAGAAAGTCGGTCCTTTCTTGGTGTGCTGTACGCCGTGTTCCAGCACAGAGGGCCTCAACGACCGGATAACAGCCGGGTAACGACCTCGCCAAGAAGAAATATTCTGATCGTGGCATAGATGCGCCCGCGTGTGACATATGGGCCATCGGCAACGAACGAAGTTTGCGGCCTCACGAGGAGGACTTATTTCCATAAGCATAGCTTATCCGGCATCTCATGGAGACGCGTGTGTGATTTCGCTCCTTCGAAATCCTTCTACTGGGTTGTAGTACCTGGAAATATGCTGCTGTGCGTGCTCACCGTGATGGTACAAGTATACGATTCAAGACAACTTGTTATAAACATATTGAACCTGGGCGTTCGAAGCCACTTTCTTTCGGGCACCAGGCCCTCTCCGCGCCCCCCCCGTTGAGTTGTACTCTAAATGAGAACACCAGCCAACAACGTACATGTAGCGTATGCAATAAGAAAACGGTCCCGAACGACGAATCACGCGCGATACACGTCGTGCAGCATCTACGACGATTCCAACAACCTACGTAAATCTTCAGACTGCCCACGGCGCTTCTTCGTTGCAAAACAGATCCGCCGCTGAAAAGAAAAGCACCACATGCGGCGAATACATTATGTCACACCCATACCACACACACACCGCCTACTATCTATTCGTCTGCAGACTAGTCTACACCGTCCGCCTTGCAGTGCTTACGCAACAGAGAGGCAGTCATGGAACACTTTGTACGTTGCCGGTGAAAGTTGTAACTGCTGATCAAAATGTTACCAACCAGGACCCCAACACCGCGGCGTATCGTTCCAGGGGACAAGTACCAGGAGACCGACCGAAAACAATCGAGGAGCAAGCGGCACACCAAGGCACAGAAAGGAGATAGAGCAGGGCAACGGGTACGATCCAGCCGTCGCGACGGAACTGATCAACCCTCTGTCGCCAAGCGTTGTTCCCCGCGCGCGCTCCTTGGCGCCCCTCTTCAGTTGGTCGACACCAACAAGCGCGGCCAAGCCTCCTCGGTTTTTTGGGATCGAAGTCAACGACTCGTGCCCTCTCCGCCCTCCATGCCCTCCCCGCTGCCTTCGTCTCCCGCTTCCTCGCCTAGCCCTACCAAATCCTCCACGAGCAATATGTCGTCTAGGGATGGCGACGGCGGGGAAGCAGCATCGGCGAGCGGTTCGGAACGGGTCTCCCCGACGCTCGACCCACCCCCCCGCTCCTCCTCCTCCTGGCCGCCCTCTGCTTCGAACAGAGACGCCTCCCGACTCCTTCGCCCTTCCCCGTCCTCGCTGCCGCCATCTCTCTCTAGCTCCCGCGCTCGCCAGTCCTCGCCTCGCACGCCGGGACGGTCGGCCTCGAGACTCCCCATCTCCTCTTCTTCCTCCTCCCCTTCTTCCTCCTCGCACAGCGCATACACAAGATCCTCTTCGGCTTCCTCACGACCTTGATCCCGTCGCTGATGGCGTCCCGCACCTTGCCCCCTCCTTCGTGCTGCCGCTCCCTTCTCCCCGTCCCCACCCACCCACCCCAGCGACTCCGAACGTCGGTAGGCATCGAGGTCGTCCTCTGAACCGCTACCGTCGTCGCCCAGCAGCAGCGCCGCGTGGATGCCGAGTTCTTGCTCCTCCTCTTGCCCATCCTCATCCTCCTCCTCATCACCTTCTCTATCTTGTCTGTGGCTGGGAGCGGCATTGCCGACCATGCCGATGTTACTTCCGTCATGGGCTTCACGATCGGAAGGGCCGTCGGGGGCATCGCGCCACATCTTGCTGAGGTAGGCCTCGACTTGCGCCGCGACCTCCTCTCTGCCGTCATCGACGCCGACACCGTCAATACCTGAGGGAAGCGAGATGGTACCGGACGCGGCACATGACACGATAGAGAAAGCGGGGGGGTGGGGTTGGGGGGGGGTACTCGAGTTGTGCATGCTTTAGCTGTTAGCGCATTGACCACGCATCCCGCGAGACGACGGTACAGGACCGATCGCCGATGGCCAGTCTTTCCTTGACAGAGGGTGCGGGAGGGGTGGGAATTCTCAGGGCATCTTGTTATCCCTCAGGGGATACGACCTTGTGCGCAGACCAGGAACGCGAGTATCCCCTGTGCGCATACCAGGCACGCGAGGGCAACGTTCCACCGGCAGGTATGGAGGCGGGGCATCAATATGAAACACCCGGCCCTATCCTGAGACCACGCACAGCCCTGGTCAGCAGTTCCCCCCCTCGCTACCGTCTCTCGCGACACGTCCAGCCGGTCTTACCTTGGTCCACTTCTCTTCCCAAGCCCTCCCCCGCAACGACCGAGCTCTCCGTCACTCGCTCCGAACCTCGGCTAGCGGTGTATCGCTCGGAGCCCTCAACCTTGTCCTCCAGCCTCCACATGTCCTGAACGCGGTATCGATGAACCAAGGGCAATCGGAACACGCGGGATGAGCGGGGAAGGAAACGCGCCCCCGTTCCGCGGTTAGGTCGTCGCTGCTTTCAAGACCTCGTGCCGTGCTTCCGTGCGCAGGAAGACTCGTCGCACGCATGCTTCATGCGACACATGCAGTGGCCTTCTGGAGGAGAGCCAGCAGCAGTGCCGACATGCCAGACCGCTTCCCACCAAAACGCCCTCAAAAGCTTCCTACCCTTCCCGCAGTCGGCGGTTAGCCTGATTACACCAAACGAGAAGAACACGTCGACGATACATGTTACGAAACCCACGCAAGCGGGGGACATTACGTGCGCCCCCTTCATCCTCGCGGGTCTAGATGATACCGCCTCACACGACGAAAAACAACCGCCGAACTATACACAACGACGGGGGCAGCAGTTAGAAGACAGCCCATCCACCTTGCAAACGTCCATGACGGCCTTCTCCAGCGACGCCAACATGTCCACAACCCTGTCGGTCCTCCCCCCCCTGCCACCACCTCCTCGGGCCTGCCTGGCAACCGGCGGCGAGGGCCGCTCGGCCTCCGTCTCCGCCATCGGGAAGAGCTCCTTCCTCCGCCGAGGAGTGAGCTCCGGGTAGCCGTCGGCGTCGAGGACGTCCCACGTCACGTCCAGCGCCGAGGGCGCGCCCCTCTCCGCCCTGCTGCCGCTCTCGCCATGGTTCGCCGGGGCCTCCTCCCGCCCACCGCCGCCGCTGATCCTTCTCCTCGCCATGCGCCTCCGGCCGGTGCCGCCGCCGCCGCCGCCGCCACCGTCGCCGGCAGCGGCGCTATTAGCCGCCCGCCTTCCGGCCTTGTGCCCGCTGCCGCAACCGCTCGCCGAAACGCGCCCCTTTCTGGACCGCACGCGGACACGCCACGAGCCCGAGCCGACAGAAGTGTATCTATCCGCCAGGTGGGCGCTGGCCCAGGCCTGGGTCCTCTCCCGAACCTCGCCTTTTCCGGGCCCCACCCCCCACGGCGCCTTCTTCTCGCGGAGTAGAGCCGCCCTCTTCCAAGGCTCCGATGCTTGCTCCCGTTCTCGCTCCGGCGCCCTCCCGGAAGAACAAGCTCCCCCCGACCACTTGTTCCTCTTCGCGAGCCGACCGCCGCCTGCGCCGCTGCTGTCTGAGCCAGCAGCTGCGCGGGCCACCGCCGCCGCCGCCCCCGCCCCCGCTGATCGGGAAGAAAGAGACCGTGCCCGAGGAGGCCGGGCATGGGCACGGCTGCTTGTGGCGGCTCCCTCTCGCCTGCCGCCTCCCCATGGTGCCTCCGCCGCCGGCGCCCCCGCCCCACTCCCTGCCCGCAAGAGAACGGCGGTGCTCCGACGACCCCGTCCGGGCCGGCGGCCCACCGTGCCACCCTCGTGCCCCGACGCTGGCGGCGCTGTTGCCGTTGCTTCTGCCGTTGAAGGGTCTGCGAGACCGGTGCCGTGGGGACCGGGGCCCCGCATCGAGCAAGGGGTATACCCCGCCCATCGCCTGAATTCGCGCACCATCTCTTCCTTGCGTTCGGCGGGTGTCTGGGGGAAGCCGGAAGACGCGAGCGCGCGGGAGGAGTCGGGGGGGGAGTGGATTCTGAGATAGGCCGCAGACATGCATGTTCGTTCGATTCATGTCGGTGGTCACATGCAGTAGGACAGCGACAGTCTCCTGTTGCGCGGATGCCCTTGTACACGGTGGTCGAGGTTAGTCCTGACAATGGCTTATATTGTTATCTTCCTGGATGTATATGATGCTCCTGATGTGTACATACCACGCCACGCCCATTTCTGAGTACAAGTACTCCTCTTCCTCCCCCCTGCTTTGCTTCGCAATTGAGCACACGCGATCGTCGTTCGGCGGCATGGTCTCCGAAGCACCGCGCCGAGCACACCCGCACGGGGAGTACAAAACGTAAAAAAGACACGGCTACAGCAGGTACAAGCTCGAACAGGATCATGCACAAACGCGCAATGGAGCACCCCCACCATTACGGTGATATCTCACCCCCTCGCTGTCTTCGTTCAGATCTCCACACGATACACTTGATTGGGACACAAGAGCTAAAAGGTACGTCGAAACGTACCTTAGCTTGGACAGAGGTGGGAATCGCCGCGGACGCGCTACTAGCAGCGCGACCCCTCCTGGTAGCGCCCCCAAACTCATGACCGCCCAAGTTGCCGCCGCCGCCGCCGCCAAAACTGTCCTGAGAAATCTCGGACACCACCGAGCCGCTTCCGGCCACTGCAGCAGCTGGCCGGGTCGGCGGCGACAAGTCTCGGTCGACGCCCGTGTGGGCAGAGAAACCCCACGAAGCCAGGGTCAGCACAACCTCCGGTTCTTCAAGAACCGCCTGTTTTTGGTGCGATTTGAGACGACGAACCGGCAGCCAAGATAGAGATCGCGGAGGTGAACTCGGGGGCGACGCGTGGGGGTTGAGAGGGATCGGAGGGGCGAGGGGGCGAGGGCATGATGATGTAATCTTGTGTTGGTCGTTGCTCGCCAGCATCCGGAAGTTTGGGAGGGGGCGCAATGATCCTTTTCTTGGTTGAATTGATCCTTAGATGCCCTGTGTACAAGCGATTGACAACCATCTGTGATCTTGAGGTTTTGCGTGGTAGGGGGGTTCTACTTTCTGTTGTATCTTCGACACTTTTCGCTTCTCGGTGGCTAGCCAGCGCTAATCCTACAGTACCTGGCGCAAGTATGCGTCACTTCACCTCTCGCTAGGCATCTGAATGAGCCAAAGCCAAGAGGTGCCTCAGATTCACTTCACTCTTAATTTCTCTCCCACATCTTCGTCGACACAGCTATCTCTCGTAGCACGAGCACGTCGTATGCATACGTTTTTCTCAGCACATCTCCATAGGTGCCCGAGAGATGAGCAGCACCGTCTCACCACCGACCCGACGGGGTCGAAGCACACCTGGTTCTCTCAATGCTTGGGAGGACGCTGGCGGTGTTGCCACGGAGACAAACACTCCTGCCGCCACACGCACGACTCTACCGCCGAGACTACTCACCCACGTAAGTGCATGTTGTCCCCCGTTACTCTATCACATGCTTCATCCGTGTCTCCTGTGACTATTGAATGATTGCATACCGTTCGCGTGCAAATATTGCCGTGGAAGACAAGCCATGACGACCTACGTCTACTTAGAGGCCCCCAGCAAGCTGGCGTGCGACCTGTCAATCTCCGTATGATATGAATAAGGAGACCATCAAGGATGAAACGCACATGCAGGTTAGCTCAGTTCTACATAGATCTCCAGCCCCGAGGAACCGGTCTACCGACGAACCGTACTCAGCGATATTAAGGCGAGCGAAGCGAGAAGTTTTAGCTGTTTGAACACCATCACCACGCGCGGCATCGTGACACACACCCAACATACGCACACCCAGAATCGGCAAGCACCATCCTCCATGAAACAAAACCTATTCCCACCCCTCATACGATGGCCCGCGCGCAGCAGGTTTGGTTTCGGCGGTCCTTACCTCCGGCATCATGCTCCTCGTCTCCAGCTCCTCCGTGATGCGCCTCTCCGCTCCGTGCCCGACCTCCGGGTTGCCGTCCAGGACGAGGGCGCACAGCGTGGCGTTGTGCTGCAGGCACACCGACAGCAGGGCCGCCCCGTGGTCGGTGATCCCGTTGCGCGCCAGGTTTACACCTAGCTGACGGCGGCCAAGGGGGAAACAATCGAAGAACACACCAGGGCGATGGGAAGGGGTGAGCACGCATCTAACCATCTACCACCGCCGTCCGGCTCCCGAGGGTATTTATCGGTTGCCCGCCCCCTCTAGCTCCACGCAGCGCGTCCACCCCGTGCGACCAACAAGAAAAAAACAGACACACGAGGGATACCAATCGAAAAAAATATAAAAAGAAGCCCCCCCCCCCCCCCCCTGTTCTGTAAACACCGGAGCGTCCATCCACCTCCCACCCGAACCCACCAGCCAGGTGTCGCTCTGCAAGCCCCTCGCGACGGCATGCACCCCGGTGTCGCCGAGGCGGTTGTCCGACAGGTCCACCGCCAGGCACCCTGCCGTCGAGATCCTCGCCGGGGCCGCGGCCGCAGTGTGCCCCACGACCCCAGTCGGCCGCCGCAGCCCGGAGCTCCACACCAGGCCCTCCCGCCGGGCCGCGTGCGCCCTGAGCACGGAGGCTACCAGCCTGCCGGATGCCTCGCCGACGAGGCCACAGCCCCGCAGGGACAGGGCGACCAGGGAAGGGTGGACGCTGATGGCCGTCGACAGCGCGCCCAGGGTGCGGGAGTCCGTCAGGCGGACGTGGCGGACGGCGAGGGACTTGAGCCCCGTGTTTCTGGCGAGCCCCCTCGCGAGACGGGCGGGCCCACCGCCGCCCGCTTTGGACTGCACGCGCAAGATGTATTTTTTATGTACGACAATTCGCGCGCCGCCGCCGCCGTTTGTTGATCGTCGGGCCGGTACGAGCGGGCGGAGGCGAAAGGCATGGGGTGTTCGTTAGCAGAAGGGAAAGCACTCCCAAACGCTAGATGTAGAGCTGCCGTTCGACGGTGTCTGTTTAAGGTACAGTAACCAGCACCCGATACTTAAATGTGCGGGGACCCCGGGGTATATGATACGGCGTCCCGCCCCCCTCAAAAAGGCTGCATGCCGTGTCACTTATTAGTCAGTGAAGGGCCTTGAGTCGACATTCCTTGGCCTCTGACGAACCTATGCCCCTGCAAACAGACCCCGTCCGCTTGGACGGCCAGGAATTGTCGGGGCTGTTGTTATCTTTCGGAGGTTACTCGGGATGGGCTCATGAACGAGAGCACGCACAGAGTGCCAGCTATTTGGCAACCGCTTGCATCCATCCGATACCATCATAGGTGTCTAAATAGTAGGCCATGACCCTGGAATACCCCCTCTAATTGCAGGTACAGACAGACGCGGCAGCGACAAATAGGTCAATCTGGGGTAAAACAGCGCATAGCGGCGACAAAACCACCGGCGAGTACAGACAGAATGCCGTGCCCACCTTCGGCATTTTCGGCGATACACAAGATGAAGGGACGACCCACGGAGGAGCGGCGCCACAAGCCATCTTGCCACACACCAGGCGTCTAAACATGCACTCCAGTACCTCTTACTCAACCCGTTTGGTGCGCTCTGAAGCAGCCCTGTCAGTCATTCCACCCACCAATTCGAAAGCCGTCCTCAGTCGTTCCAGCTCCAGGCTTCTCAGAGCCTTTAACTGCGGTAGAGCCTTGCACAGCGCGTTGAACAGCTCCATCTGCACCACCCGCCATATGAACGGGGGCGAGAGGGAAGAAAGTTGTCGCGTTTGTCGCGAAGACGGGAGTAGTCGTGATTAGATAGACCAGTCAGCATCACGTATTTCCACTTCTCATGTCTTATTTCCCGCGTACCGTAGTCCCAGCTCAATTGCAGCAAAAAAACGCACACAAAAAGCCATGGCGCTGGGGATGGTTCGCAAGAAACGGCTGATGATGCCCGAGCACAATTCCAACAATTGCAAGTGACGCGCGATTCAACAGACGCGACGCACTACTTCTCTCTCGATGTGTGAACGACTCTCTGCTTCTCTCTGCGCGTGTGAGAAATCCTGCCAAAGATTATCTACAGCAAGGCATGCACGAGGGGTCGAGACAACGCCAACGAAGAGTAAAATATTCTACACTACGAACATCGGACAACACCGGCGGGGTGCTCATACAGTACAACAACACAACGCAAGCAGCGGACGCAACCCAGCAATAAATAGCTACCCAGCGTTTTGTGGAGAAACTCCTGTTATTTGCAGCAGAACGAAAATAATCTTGCTGTAGGTTCGTTCGTCAAATCAACCCCCTGAATCAAAGCAGAAGACTGTGTACCACATGACTATCCTAGATCTTCGTCCACATGGAGGCCCGTTTATCCCTTGCCCTTCCACCCCCCCTCCCCCCCAGAGTGCATCTCACCTCCCCCACCGGATCCCTCTCCATCGCCATCTCCCTCGACCCTCCCCCGCGAGACCCCCGCGATCCCCGCCTGCCGGTCGTCGCCGCGCCCGCCCTTTTTCGCACGGACGACGAGCGGCCGGCCTCGTGGGCGCTGATCACAAGCGAGAGCAGCTCGGTCCGCGCCTCCTTCGTCCTGTTTGTGTGTCGTCATTACAAACACATACATGGTTAGGTGAGGCGTGAAGCTCGGCGCGGGACTGGGCGAAGCGTGGGGTTTGGGACGAATGAGGCATGTGCGTGCGTGCGCGGCACGATGAAAAATACCGCAGCTGTTGCATGCGTGAACAAAGGGTCCCGCCAGAGGGCGGCGGGATAAGGAAGGCTGTGGCCACACGCCGTAGACGTGTTTCGTAGGTATGCCACAAAAATCGAAACTTGTTAGCTCTGCAGCCGTGCTCCCGTCTCTAGAAATGTGTTGCTGTTGTCCGTGTGACTCGCTGGTGGACTGTCGCGCTTGACATCCTCCGCGATGCCACCGCACTGCACGGCGCTGGCGCTGCACACTCGAGATGTTGTGCAGCACTGGCAATGTTGCTTACCGCGCGGGACCGTTGTCCACAAGAAGACACCAACAAAACTGTGGAGACCCCTATCACAGAAGGGTACAAGCACATTCCAACGCCTGCTTTATACAGGACGGTTCACGTTTGTGTCGACGAAGCGACGATGAAGGGGGTCTATCTCCACGCAAACCCACGGCAAACACTCAAAAGAGTAGGAGTAGAGCAAGACCGTTCGTCGGGCGTTTTATGTAATTGTCCACCTCAACCTCAAAGTCTCGCTCACATGAGCAGTGACGCGATGACCGCTGTCTCTTGCTTCTCGCAGGCGGTCAGGTTCCACAACAGCTCGCCGCCGCCGAGGCTCTGCGCGACGTCCTTGTTGGGCCTTACGGCCGGCCGGGCCGACTTTTGGGACGGGCATGCACGACAAAGGCCGGAGTTTTGATGCGCACAGCAGAAAAAATGGAGGGGTGCCGGCGTGTGGGCGTAGCAAGTCATGCACGAAGAAGAGGGGCGGTGGTCGTCGGTTATGTGCGATTCGTGTGCGTCTTTGGTGTGGTCTTGAGAGGCGTGCACTCTGGCTGAAGCGGTAAGGTGTGCGCTCGCTCAGAGTCGTCAGTGGTCGAACAGGAAGAACAGCAATCGGGAATGATTGCCCGTGGGGGTAGCAATACCTCGAACGAAAACAACACCAAGAGCGTCAACACGAGTGTTGGTTGTACACCGACACACCCTGAGTCGCGTAAAGATGAGAATCACTCTCATCACCCCTTGTACGAGTGTTGGCGAAGGCCTACTTCATCGAGACTGCAGGAACTCCTGCTGTGAAGTCGAAGTATTTTATATACCATCGCCACAGAAGCCAGGGCCCCACCGGTCGGAAAAAAACTCACGTAGCACAGGGAGAGGTACTTCTTTTGCATCTCGTTGATGCCAACCCCGTCTCGTAGAAGCCTTCGCATGGCAGTGTCGTTGCTAAGATGCACGGCCAGTTGGGTTGTGTTCCTGCCAAAGGCAACGAACGCAGCACCGAGTTACCTATTCGTTAGACTTAGAAGTGTTGTATGCATAGACTACATGTCGACTTATGTATGCAACAGAATTGGTCATTTTAGAAAGTTGGAGATCCCAAACAAGAGGCACGCATTCGCCGTGCAGATATGGATCCAAACGCAGTATGGACCAGATCTTGAAGGCAACCACGTCAAGAGTAACTGGGGTGCCTGCATCCGACTGAACCGTGTACGGTAGTCTAGACTAGGGAAAGGAAGCCGCGCCACTTCCAACGGGATTTCTGGGCGAGAGGTCGTAAATCAGCACACGCACACACAATTTTTCCCTGAAGTAAGAGATGCACTTGACGGCATTCCAAGTCGCCACGCTGATGGTGGACTAGGCAAAGATGGGATGTGAAGAACAGCACGACGAATCCTTGCGAGAAGAGCAGCTGTGTAGGTGTCTTCGGGTGCACCAACTCTGTCTGTTGCAACATTCGCATGCGTAGTCTTGAAAAACGCTCCAACAAGCACGGATACCTTATCGCTGACTGCTTGCTCAGTCTGCTGAAGACGCTCCCACCATGTAGACTCATCCCGACAATCCCCTCCCTCCCCCACTCGATTCCCGCCAGCCGTGAACACACCTCTAGCTCTCGCAGCGGCAGCAACGCGAGAGTGGAGATCAGATATGATATCACCCACCGCCACCGCACCGTCATCCCGAGGGCCCCCGCAACACGTATAATACCATCTGCGTCCCCCCGAGCCAGCATCAAATCAAGCCGGCTATCGCGTGCACATCACTACCTACTGCTGTTGCTGCAGCACCTCTTCGCTGTGCCGTGGGCCGATAGCCCTCCGGTGCTGAGTACATCATGGTGCTAGTCAGAGCGTGGGTGAAGGGGGAGCTGGAGGGCATCCTGCAGGACGGCATGAACGCGCCGCCCGTGACGCCTCGACGAATCCGCACTCGCAGGCAGCACGTGCAGTGCGTCGAGGTCAACGAGGGGTGCAGCGGGTTGAAGATCAACGACGGGGAGACCATGGTGTGGTGTTTCGTCACCAAGCAGGGCATGGAAAAGGTGACTCGCGCAGGAGGCCATCGCCCCCTTTTTGCTTGTGTTTGGAAAATGCCGGGGTTTGCTGAATTTAAACGAAAAGCCGGCGTCCAAGCGTGGGTGGGTCGTTTCCAACGGCCGACCAACTGCTGTCCTGGCTCTCAGCCCTCAAGTCCACTCTGAGCCCCACACCCCGAGCTGTCGACGGGTGGTACATCGTGAGACCTTCGCCCTGCGCAGTCGTTGTCGGCTCCCTGTCATCAACGGCAACAAACTTTCAAGTATCTCTCTGCTGCTCTTGTGTGGGTGTCACATGTAAGCCGTAGTTTCAAAAACTCGAAAAACGCAACGCCTCTTTTATACCCGCGCCGTCAACTCCAGTTCCTCTTGGACGGAAAGAACCCGACCTTCGCCAGCCTGAACAACAAGACCATCACCATCGACGACTGGGAGTTCTCGACGATAAACGTGCTGTGTCCGGCCTTCGACGAGAAGAAGGCGAAAGCCAATGGCCATATCTGTATTCTGGTGAGTGCCGTCTTGTTGGCGGGGTAGCGGGGCAGATGGCAGGACGGGGGGGGGCGGGGTGGTTGCGCGTGCGACAGCAACCCCCAACAACTCCTGTCTCTGCGTTGTGGTCGAAAAATAGAGGTCTCTGGGGTCGTGCCTTATTATCGTACTTCGTTGAATGATATTTCTGAAAGGATGCGAAGGTTAAGGTTCGCACAGCGACCGCCACCCCCCTGGGTCTGCGCTGTGACCGATAATTGAGGTCTCTGGGTTCGTAGCATACCTCGCCCGTTGGTTGGTGTAACCGTGAGGATGCGAAGGTTCGCAAAGGGCGTGTTAGCGTTTGATTGCTCCACAACCAGGAGGGTAGGAACACCAACCAGTACGTCTCGCGAAAACTCCTGACTAGATCTTTCCAAAACACCCCCTTTTCGTCCGTTGCTGCCCACATGGTCGTGGCGCAATCAACCCTTTATTTGAAAGACGCTCACCTGCGCGAACCTTTGCCTCCTTACGGTAGTCTACGTGTGCCAATTTTAGTGGACCTTGGCCATCACGCGAGATCCACCCTCCGGTGAAGGATCGCTCACTTCTTTTACGCCGCAAGGTCAAGCCCGGTGAATGGATACTAAAAATACGACAGCTCTGACGTAAAACCTTTCTGAGAGCTCTTTTTATAGGCGTGCCGTTCGGATTTGACCCTGGTCCCGCTGCGTCGAGCAATCGACAAGAAGCGGCGGTGCGGCTGCTTTGCCGACCTGCCGATTTGATTTGCTCTCCCGCCGTGGTTTGTCCTTGCTGCGAAATATCTTGCTACCGCGCGTGGGGGACGAAGCATGACGCATACAAGAGCTCGTGCGAAGGTATGAACAAACCCGGCTTGAGCCTCAATTTCCCCCCCCCCCCCCCCGCTCCGATTCCCGCCTCCTTTACCGATCGAACTACCACTTACAACCCCCCGACGATCCGTGTTTGATGGCGTACAGATCAACAAGTTTGCGCTGTTCGGCGGCGAGCGTACCACCACGATCGGAAAGCCGACGGACCTCGGGGAGGGGAACCGAGAGCTCCGCGCCATCTGGCGCGCCCTTTCCATCCCTAAAGATCTGGTGCGAGCCCTGGCGCGCGGCCAAGGGCTGACCGACCTACGAGACATAGACGGGGTGGTGATGAATGCTCCAGACCCGGAGGTGTGTGTTGGTTGTTGGTTGATGTCATTCTAGCAGCAGCGCGTGCGGTGGAGGTCGGGTGTCGCGGTGGTGGTGAGCTCTTTCATGCCCGACGTTGCGGCGCACAGAAGCTAATCGTATCCGCTGCATGCTTACAGTCGTGACTCCGATATAAGAGGGCGGTGCGACAACGGCCCTCCACTCTCTTATATCGCGGCCCCCTCGTATAGGGTACCCTCTTATATCGGAGCCATGACTGTACTGGTACCGAGAGAGAGCGGGAGAGATGCTTGGGGACCCCGTGATTGTAATCAACGAGAGGATAGGCTCCGGACACACCCGAGAGAGTTCGAATAACATGGCAGTTGGATTCGAGTGTCGTTGATGTAGTTTTTAGATGCATGGCACCTAACGGAGACCCATCCACAAAAGGCCGCCTTTCCTGACACAGCAGTTTGCTATCCCCCCGGCCCTTTTCCTAGAAGAATCCATTCCCACGACGCCTGTGTTGTAATGTGTGCTTGTGCTTGCCCTCTGTGTGTCCCCCCTGTGCCTGGCGTGTACCGTGTTTTGTGTCTCAGTTGCAGGGGCTCTCTTGGGAAGACGTAGAGCCGGCGCTCATGGTGAGACCGACGACGGTGTCGCCGCCACCGCCGAGCAGCCAGCCGCAGCCCAAGGAACCCGTCGGGACCCCGGCTGGGGGGATGCGGTCACCGGCGGCAGACCGTGGCAGTAACGGCGGCGGCAGCGGCAGCGGCGGCGGCGGTGGTGGAGGAGAAGCGTCTCTCCTCGACGACATGACGCAGCAAAGCCTTGGGATGGACTACGACGATGGCGACTTCGGGGGAGGGGATGGCGACTTCCACACCCAAGCACCGTCCGCTGGAAACGTGTTCAGCCAGGAAGAAATGGACATGCGCCCGGCGTCGCCGACCCCCTCGTCGCCGCCAACCTCGCCGGGTACACGTGGCGGCGGCGGCTGCAGCGATGGTGCTGGTGCTGGTGCTGGTGCTGGTGCTGGGAGGGCGGCAGCGGCATCGGACGTTGGGCGGGCAGGCTCGACGAGAGAAGAAACGGTCGCAGGATCGCCGGACGTCGTGCCGCACCTCGTCGGGGGGGACAACGCAGACGAGGACGAGCCGGTCGGACAGGGGGGTGGCGGGCAGGGGGCGCGAGCGGCACTCACTGGTGGCAGCGTGGCCGCAGGTAACCGGACAGCTGCTAACGGGCACCAGCCAGCAGCAGCAGCAGCAGCAGCAGGAGGGAATGGCAAGAGGAAGCGAGAGCAGCAGCAGGAGGAGGGAGAAGAAAAGGAGGAGGAGGAGGAGGAGGAGGAGGAAGGTACGGACCCGATCCCAGTTGGGTTCACCCAACTGGACGTTGCGCCCGGGGACGGAGCGTTGGAGCTATCGGAGCCGCGACAAAACGGAGGAGAGAAGGACAACGGCGAGGAGGAGGAGGAGGAGGAGGAGGAAGAGGAAGAACGAATAGGAGGATCGCGTCGAACAATCCTCGCTGCGCGTGCAGGTAAGGCCGCTAACAAGGGCAAAGGGAGAGCGAAGGGAAAAGGGAGAGCCCATTCGACGAACGAGGAAAACGGCGCGACAGGGGGTGGGATACGGGCGGCAACGGCGGGGGCCAGCGGCGGCGGCGGCGGCGGTAGCGGTGCCACCATTCAAGATTCTCTCTCGCCTGAAGACATCTTGTCCCCGCAAGTACTCTCGGGTGGGACCTCTTCCTCGTCGAACGTCGGGTCCCCGAACAGCAGCGGGCTGGGCCTGAGCTGCCTCACGCAACAACGGCAGAACGAGGGGCGCTGCCATTCGAACAGCGGCGCTCGCAACGCCGCCGAGAAGTGCGACATACGTAGCGTGTTCCGGACCGGCGGCGGCGATGGCGGCGATGGCGGCGGTGGCAGCGGCTCCGGTGGCCGTCGTAGCGGAGCAACAGCAGCAGCAGGGAGAAAACAGAGCGGCCACAGCAACAGCGACGGCGGAAGCGAAGACGACGCACGCGCGGCCGGCAATCGCCGCCGCGCTCCGCCCACCTCCCGGAACGGCACGAGGAGCAGCGGACGCCGCGCGGGCTTCGGCTTCGGCGGCGGCGGCGGCGGTGCTGGCGCGGTAGACGGACCTAGTGCCGAGACGCCGGACACCGCGACCCCGGACACAGTGGAGATGGAGGTCGAGGACGGCCCGGCGCTATCGGCCCTCGAGGCTGCCGCCAAGAAGCTCCCGGTACGGCCTCTCCGGGGCGGCTCCCTGAGCGGCAGTCGGAAGCGGAGCCGGCCGCTTTCGGACGTCCTCGTGGCCTTGGACCCGGAGTGGGACGGGTCGGGCCCGCCCCGTGTCGTCGCCCGCGGGGCCGACGCGGACGAGATGCTGGCGGAGTGGCTGGACTCGAGCAGGCCAGCGAGGAGGAGGCCTCCGCCGCTCTCGATCTGCGCTTGGCTGGACAAGTTTGCCGGCGGCGGCGGTGCTGGCGGCGGCGGAAGCAACGGCGGTGCTAGGGGCGGCAGCGGCAGTAGAAGGAGCACCAACTGGACCGCTGATGGTAGATTCCTCGACAAGGGGGGGGGGCGGCATTGTTGACGACAGGCGGCGAAAAATGCTCGCTGCAGCACGATTGGAATGCGTCTGGCTTGGCGACTTGTCATTTTGCACGCCTTTGGATGCCGCGACGTTGGGCACAAGAGTTTTTTTGTACGGCGCTCCTTGGTGGGTTGGGTAGGTTAACAGTTAACAGCGGGCTGTGCTGCGCCCGCTGTGTCTGCTGGAGTAATCCTCTCGCTTTCGTTGTTTACAAGCTGTTTTTTTGTTGCCTTTGGTGGACGAGCTCAGTGCCACAAGTGACAGCAGCGTCTCGTTTTTGTTCACAAAGATGTGACTGGGTATTTGCAGGTCTTACACTGTAGAACTTTGGTGTATATAGCTAAAAATTGATGTGGCGGTGTAGAATTAGGTAGTTTAAACTACAGTTTATGAACGCCACCATACAAGAACCAGCTGAGAATTCTGGTCAAGTAGACTATATCGCCAGCACCCACCGTAGCGGGTAGGCCGTTGACATGTGGGGTGATAAGCTGACTATAAGTAGACACCCTGTAGAGGTAGTTGTGCTGGACACAAAAATGTAGCTGGAAACCAACCGGGAAATTTTGACTCGTTTTCTTCCTCCAATTGAAGGTCAAAAAGGCTCTGCGATCCTCGGAGCGGCTGCTACACGCTAATCCTACCCCGCCCTCTTCCCTCGAAGAAATAGCTCTCGAGAGGAACAAACGCACGAGACACTCATGCATCACGAGGTTCCCGAGGCAACAAGGTTTGACGAAACAGTCCACCGCCTAGACCAAGACAGGAACACACCTCAAGGTTGTTTACGCGATCCCTCAGAGCTTTTCTTGGTGACGGCATAACTGCATGCTGATCGTCTCTGGGTTATTGTTATTGTGGTTCGGGAGGGTTCGTGACACGCACACTGTTGCGCCCCCGCTCTAACAGGAAAAAAACAACCTAGGAGTAGCCATCAGTGCTAGCAGCAGTCACAAGTGCACGCAAACAACGCTCTGCAAGTCTGAATCCCCGCCCCCTACAGAATCGCTGTGCAACTGGCCGTCCAAAGTATCCGATGCTGCGCCGTCCGGCGTTTGAACGTAACCCCCCCACCCACTCCCTTGGATGAGTTTTGACACCCGGGTTCTCTCCGCAAAAAGGGGAGGGTACCAGAGCCAAACGCTACACAGTAGAAAAGGGCAAGCATGTCGCCGACACTACCCGCGTGAGACAAACATCCCAGAGGTGCTGCACGCATTGACACCTCATGGAGACATCGAGCTCTATAGAAAATGACTGACCTATATCAAGAGACCGGAACGATTTCAATGCCAAGACAGCAACAACAACAACAACCAGGGGGGGATTACAAGACGTCGGGTCAGTTTGTTCAGGTTGCCCCAGGGGGGAGAGGGCGGGGCTCTCGCATCTCGCCCTTGAGCCCGAGCTGCTCGACGAGCGGCACGGGGAGGGCGTACACCGCGTCCACCGGAAGAAAATTGTCATATCCCTCCCTGCGGTGTTTGTTCGTTGCGGATTTTCCCACGAGTGTTCAATTCCAAGACAGTCATGAACAAGCGTCGAAGAAGGCGAGGCGGTCAGGAAAGAAATTCGGAGCAGCGGGAGAGAGTGAGAGAGAAGAGAGGAGAGATGGGAGGATGGGAACCCAGAGGAGACGCATAAACAGGAATTTTTATTGTTGACGGCCGATTGCCACGCCCTCCTTCCTGGTTGTGGAGTAAACCAGCCAGCTACGGTAAAGTTAAATAGAATAGAACCAACAACAGACGCTAACACACACACACACACACACCTGTCATCGAAGTACCCCAGGAGAGACAGGCCGGCGATGCCAAAAAAGGTGTGGAAGATGTCGGCCAGGTTCCCCGGCCTCTCCGCGATGCCGCCGTCCTCCGAGTCTTGGCACCGCAGGATAAATCCCTTCAGCCTGGCTCCGTCTATCCAGTCCACCTTCGTGGGGGGGCGGGGGGCGAGGGAAAGCGCCCGGGGTATGCATGTGGAGTAAGGCGGCAGACAAGCCATATGGCACACTGCTGTATTGCTAATAGTGCATGAGCTATATCGCCCCACTGCCAGGAGGACCAGCGGCAACCGTAGCGCCATTTTCGTCGAGCGAACATTACTCTAAAAATCTCGTCGTTGTAACCCTGCCGTTTCGTCATGGGTTGTTGGGACGACTCCAGGGGAGCACCGACAACGACGGCGACGCAAGCTAGCAGTCCGCACGGGCAGAGAAGATCGCCAATGGAAACGAACGGGTCACTGACACTCCCTGGCACTGCGGAAGAAGGCGTGAACGTCTTTGACAGGAAGTACGGGGATGCGAAACCAACGAGGAAAGAGATGGTAAGACAGGGAAAACGAAAAGAAAAAAAAAACACGCTGAAGGTGTCAATCACAGTCGGACATTCAAACCTCCAGGAAAAAATAAAAAAGACTGAAGGGTCACACGTTCGATTCTCAAGGAATGCGCGAGTTTCAGATAGACGGTGGGAACCGAGGCGGAGAAAGCGCATGGGCCAGGACAGCCGCAAGTTTCAAAAATATGCCGCTGGGGAGAGGAGAGACGCAAGGCGCAGAGAAAAATCGCTAGCCCCTGACCTTGCCAAGAATCTTGAGAGAGGACAGGATCCACCACGAGTAGCACACGTCCGCTTGCTTCTCTGGCCGCCCGTTCAGGCCGCCCGAGTCACACTGCCGCTCGCAGAGCCACCAGCCCAGCAGACCTGGCGGTTGTTGCCAACCCGGAGGAAGGGCAGTTGCACCCCCAAGAGAGGGGGACCGGGGACATAGGGTGGAACCACCAAGTGGTATGGCGTTAAGCCCACGGAAGAAAGAGGGGATGGATGGGGGCAAGAAAAGGGCTGCCGAGAAGGCGACCAAAAAAAGAAGGGAGAAAAATAACTCCTTGCGCTTGTACATACGGCCTTAGTGAGTAAGTGAGTGCGGCTCGTGGAACTTGGTGACACACGTTTCCAACAATCGCGTCTGCGTTGTACGCAACACGCGATGAGCGCAAGTACCACTATTCTTCCTTGGTGTGTTTCTTCGGTAGATAAGACTGGTTCGGACGAAACTACCCGGCCCCCGATCATCATCATCATTATCATCATCATCATCATTGTCATCATCATCATCGCCATCATCATCGTCATCATCCTCTCGCCTTCGTCGACGAGGTGAAGCGACCTCGCGATAGACAGCGCCCCCACGCACGTGAAGATCTGCCCCGCGTGCGACTCCGCCCCCGGGATGCAGCCGAACCCCCCGTCAAAATTGCGGCATCTGGTCGGTGGAGGGCGCGACGACGACGGCAACGAAATCAGACAAAAGAGGGGGGCAACGGGGACTGACAAGCTTGCCGGTTCCGTTCAACCGTCGGAGGACAAGAGCTAATGAGAGCCGGATTTTGACGAAAGCAACCCGTCGATCAAACCAAACAAACCGGCTCAACGCAGCCAACCCGAGTTTCACATGACACAGACTGCCGTTGTTGTCATACCGAGACCGGTACATTGCGGTGTCAAGACGGCGCGTGCGTCGCCCGCGCGCCCTGCTCTGCTCTCTAGCCATCGGCCGTTCCGAATGCCGCAAGAACAAAACATGACACCGCCGTGCGTTTGTACTCGTGTACTCATACGCTTTTTAAGGCAACACGAGTCAGGCAGGGTGCGTGGTGGGCTGACCCGGTCGTCACTTCTTGCCTGCCCACGAACTCGGCCGCCTTCTTGACGTCGATCTTCCCGCTGTCGAGCTGCCCCAGTATCGCCATGCTCGAGAGCGCGCAGTACGAGAAGCGCGTGTCGACCTCCCCCCACTCGTCGCCGAAGAACGACCCGTCCGACTGCTGCAGCCCGCTAACGTAACCGGCCACCTGCGCGTAGCAGCAGCAGCAGCAGCAGCAGCAGCAGCAGCAGCAGCAGCAGCAGCAGCAGCAACAGCAACAACAAGCAATCACGACAAACATACATTTCAACTTTTGGGTTCAAGCTAGCGATTATCACCTGCGTCATTTGCGTTGAAGAGCTGCAGCAGCAGCAGCAGCAGCAGCAGCAGCAACGACCGACCACGACCAACATACATTCCACTCTTGAGTCCAAGTCGACGGTTGTTACCTGCCTCATTTCTGCCAAACAAAAACAATATACGCGATCGATTCTTGGCGGCCTCGACAGCAGCACAAAGAGGTGGGCCAGACCCATGAACAAACACCAAGCCCAAGAGTTTGTCGGGACAGTAGCAGCTCGGAGCTGACAACCAAACCCCCGAGGCAGCAAAACGAGTAGGCCGTGCTATGAACCAAGCGCGAAGAGGTACTGCGGTACATATCGAGTGGGTACACGGGCTGCCGGTTGTACGTGCGCTCATCCACGGGGGTTAAGATGCGCCGTGGGTTGTCAGAACATGAGCCCGGAAGTTCCCTCCCTTCCCTCGCCTTGTCTTTGTCGACCCGATCGAGCTCCCCCAGCAGCGCCATCACCTGCAGCGCGCTCAGGGTGTACAAGATGTGCGGGTCGTGCCCCTCGTTTCCGCCGAACCTATGTGTATTAAGCATCGAAGTAAAAACGTTACGCAATTCTCATGCGTGTTCTCAAGTTTGTTATACGGACGCCGGCCACCTGGCCGAGAGGGCAACGCCACAGTATTTAGTGACGAACCAAGGGCATGAGCTACCTTGCGCACTCGGTTATGTTTCTTCATTAGTATCTGAGCGACTAGAACAGACAAATCGTTGGTACGGACGCGGCGTGTTGCCACGAATAAAAAAGGGCCGGTCAGCTCACGACTACGGGCGCATACATATAGCTGTACGGTTCACGAGGCCTACTCACCCGCCCCCTTCGTGCTGGCACCGCATGACCCAGCTCGCGAGGTCCTCCGCGCCCATCTCCTTCCTCAGGTCTCGCCCCATCAAGGCCATGCTCATCAGGCCCCAGTAGACCCCCGACATTCGCAGGTGCTGTTTTTTTTCGATTTGTACCGTAAGATGTGGTTCATGTCCGGTGTTATTACGTGATATCGGTGAGGCACAGCGCTACAAGGAAACGGCTTCAGCAGAGGGCGGTAGAGAAGGAGGAGGTCGTTTGAATCCTGTCGCTTTGGCACCTTGTGGTGGTTAGGTTGCATGCACGGAAGCTCCACTAACCTGGTACTAGTCATATTGAGGATGATGTCTCGCGAGTCAGGTCACCTTCGGGGTAAGGCTGCTACTTGGCGGGTCAGGTGCTCTTGTAGGTTGCAGGTTTGTGACGGAGGCAGCGCTGCGGCAGAAAAGAAGAAAAAAGCAACGAAGAATGTACCATCCCCGCAGGAGGAGGAGGAGGCGTCCCAGCGCTTCGAGAAGACGAAGTCATCGGGGCTGTTCAACCGGTGCCGCTGTTAGGTGCTGTTTTTGCGTCCAGGGCGGCGAAAGCCGGCGGGGCAGATACGCACGCAAAATAACGCCGTGACGGTCCATTGAGGGGCCGGCCGCTCAGATAGAACGATCGTATCGCGTGGGGTACTGTGCGGGGGTGGGGGGGTGCTTCGGGTTTGAAAAGGGTGGCTTCCAAGTACGTTTTCGACGGCGTAGTCGCCGAAATGGCGTAAGATGTTGCGAATATCTTTTGTATGTCTGTTGCTGCTGCTGTTGTCTCGATGTCTGTGTTCCACCTGCGTGCTGCTGGCTGCATCGCCATGTACACATGTTTATGTGGGACCTCGACGGCGGCAGCGACAGCAGCCACCACCGCATCTACCTGTGCTACGCCACCTGCACTGGTTGCCCCGCCTGTGCCGGCCCCTATTCCTGCAGTCGGCGACATGTATGCCGACGGTTGAGGAGGAGCAGGCACGCTCGACGGCGGAAGCGGTGGCATCCATCGGCACAATCTACGTGAGCTACGGCGCCTGCTATGGTGTCGTAGCCCGCGTAGATGCGGTGGTGGCCGCTGCTGCTGCCGCCGTCAAGTTTGCCTGCTCGCTTGCTCTCTTGCTCTTCCTCAACCGTTGCCATCATCGCCGTCGATTGAAGGAACAGGAGCAGGCACGCTCGATCGCGGCAGCGGTAGCAGCTGTCAGCGCAATCTACTTGGGCTACAGCACTCGCAATGGTGTCGTAGCCCGCGTAGATGCGGTGGTGGCCGCTGCTGCCGCCGCTGCCAAGCGTGCCTGCTCTTTCTTAAACGCCGCCATCATCGTCGCCAACTGCAGGAATAGGAGCCGGCACAGGCAGGTACGGCAGCCCGGGTAGATGCGGTGGTGGCCGCTGCCTTTTGCCTGCCACCGGCGAGCGTGCCTGCTCTTCAAAGCATCGTCAGTGGCGTTGGTGTAGCAGGGAGACAATCCGGTACACGCGTGACATGCCACCGCCACCGCAGCGGAACGTGCTGAAATGTCTGTGTCTCTTTCATTCAACAGGGATAGGAGAATCACCTTAAACGTCCATCAAGCCGGCAGAGGGAGGTCGGCTCGGCACGCTGCATGTGGAGACTACTAGATAGCGCTCGGACTCAAGAACCTCTAGTCTTGACAAAGGCTGAGGTTCTTGCTTCCTCTTGTGGGCTACAATTGACCGCTGTATAGGATTTAGCGTAGGTTCTTACAAACGGTGCTCACGCTCTTGTGTTTGGAAACATGTTGAGCGTGAAGCCACGTGCGATCCATTCGCACTTGAGGAGGCCTCTGTGAGGTACCCTACAGAGTTGACGGGGGCGAGGTGCAGAACATGAACATCTCCGAGGATCCACGAGGAGGTAGCTCGGTTGCTCGTGTCCGAGCGTGAGCTGCCAAGCGAAAGCTCGAGAAGCTTTGAGCTACAGCGCTGCTGTACCCTGGTACAAAACCTCTTGCCCTTGGCGAAATTTGCGATCAAGCTCTCGCCTAAATATTTACAGCTTGGTGTGCGCATGTACATACATACATGTTTCGCCCCCGCGACCTGCGGTACCCACGCCCACGGATATTATTCGCACACTTGCACGTAGTTAAGCCGCGTGGCAGGGCTGTCCCAAGCTGCCCCACAAACCAGCAGCAACATTGTACTGAAGTACTTGTACAACATGCCGGACGTTGCGTGTAGACCTTACTCACAGGTGGCAGGCGGACCAATTCCAAGCGCACCCTACTGTTCAACAGAAAGCATGAGCTGTGCACAACACCGGTAGCTCTTCAACTTGTCTCGTCCTTCCGCCCATCCTCGAAACACTTACTGAACTTGGAACACATGATGACTCCCCTACTACCACCGCATGGTGCAAAACGCAAGACGACTTTGGAAACTCGGTGGTGGACACCGCCGTCTCCGGATACATGTAGCAAGCAGCACCTACCTCCGTCATACAGAACTCGAAGGTGTCTGTCTGCTCCGAGATCCTTAGAACGTATTGCCGATGGAGTTCCTGTAGACAAGCAGCGCAAACAGGCAGCTGTCACACACAAACACACACATCTTTTGGGGGGCTTATCGAGAAGTCAAAATGGAGCGCAACAAATCTGTTAAGATCCACTACAATCGACTACTACTCGTTGCTGCTGCTACTGCCGTTCATGAAGGATGTTCTACAACACGGCTGAGACACGCTGCAAACGGTCTCGACAACACTCTTCGACACACACCGTTCGAAGAAAAACGGGGAAGTTCTACCTAGATTGACTGCAAATCTACCGCTGTACTGACCGCCGCTAGTTCATTTGCCTCGATGATACGTTACACACAATAAAGACTAAACTCCATTGCTGTAAATCAGTATCACTCCCAACCTACTATCCTATGTATCTCCCTCCCCTTCAACGCGTTTCACCTACACGAAGAACAACGTAACATTGTAGATTTCAAAATGAGCGGAAACATCCATACTCAAATCTACAGTACAACTCCAACTGTTGACGTTAAAAAAAAAAAAATGTGGTGCGTGTACAACAGTCCTATAGCTGTACATACTGCTGTTAGGCTATATTCAAGTCGCCTGCAACAGCAGCGAAGTACTTTCTAAAAACAGCAAGTTGTCAAACGACACACTGCGCCATGTTCCCCGTGAATGCCACATTCCACATCAAATTAAGAATGTATCTGCCTATACAGATAGATGCTTTGTTCTTAGCTCCAACTGGCATTACTGATAACTTAGTGTTAGGCTTACACAAACTCAACATAAGCCAAGTCTCCATCTGGTTTCAATCCACTTACTGAAAAGACTTCACCACATCCCTTTCGACTGAGGTTATATCTCGAACGGGTAGTCTTTCTGTGAGGTTATGTTTAGGGCATTTGTTACGATGTCTTTTTTTAGGCTGTTTTTTTCAAAAAATGACAACTGGCCAATTAGACTAGACATCGTAACAAATGGACAGTTTTGAAATAGAATCGTCGTGTGTTTGGGAGAGCGAGACCGCTGATAGTGGACACCAACTCCGGACTTCCGCACCTCAAAAAATGATGGCGGTTCAGCGTCTTCAGTCCCTTGTGGTGGGTTGGATTTGGGCGAGAAGTCTGCCATGACAGCAGTGGTAGACGAGAGAAGGTGTCTTGTCTGTTGTGTGTTGCACGGTAGCACCGCAGGACCGGCCGCGGCGGTAGCGAGCGACTGAGGGGGCGCGCCACTGGTATAAGCTTAGGGGGATGAGTTCCGCCGCCGCCAACCGCCAGCTGCGACGCCACCACCACAACGTTTTTGTGGCCACGTTTGTCGTTCTGCAATGTTCCATGGCCAGCCCACACACTGCTTGGTCATACACCAATATGGGTTGCCGTACATCGACGGAAAATGAGCCCGATGTCTGTGGTGGCACGTGGCACATAATTATACTTTTTCATTTTTGTTGACCCGAGCTTTGGTGACCGTTGATTTACTTGTTGTGGCGCTTTGACACACTTCGCACGACGTATTGGTACAACAAGACACAGGATGCGCTCTCACACAATGTGTTTCCTGGATGAAGGGCAACGGCTGCGCCTCTTCGGAACACTTTGCGACGTTTCCCACATGGATGCGTGTCCTTGCAAAAAAAACTGCCTTCATGCTCGTTCATGCCCGATAGTTGTTCTTCGAGTGTGTACGCGAAAAAGTGTGAGGACATCGTACATATGCATAGAAGCGATAAACGACCGGGCGGGACATGGTGGTCTACGCTGTCCCGGATGCCGTATTAGCTCGTAGCAGATTGCCCAATTGGATTGCCTCGAGAAAATTCTCGCGGGCGGTGTTGGTGATGAAATGGAAAGCTATGCATATGTAAGCGTAGGTTATATTCAGTCAGATCCACGAGGAGTAATAAGTGATTCGCAACAACTCGCGGAGTAAAAGTTTCTGGTTGGTGGGTGTCTGTTAGATCCCTACGCTTACATACCAGTACCCAAAAAGCAAGAGCAAACGCATCATATCGGCTGCGATAACCACCCACAGGTCCATTGCCAACCTTTAGCATGACCACCTTCCTTTGACCATCCATCCATACCACCTGCCGTGATCATTAATACTCATTCACGGTTTTCCATGGCTGGGGGTCTCCCGAACACCGCGTCGCTCACGAAGCTTGCGTGCCTACACAACAATAACATCGGTCGATGTGGTGACTGGAAACAAATGAAAGTCTGCGGGTTGATGCCGTCACACTTCCACGACAAAAACAGACACCGGGACTACGGAGCCCTCAACTCTGGGTGAGCGGAGAGTCCTGAGTGTGGTGGCTATGACCTACCACCGGGACCAGCACCAGCAATGCCAGCACAAACAAACGCGGTCGCGAAGGAAAGAGCGGCAGTGCTTGGATACCGACCAGCGCCGAAGAAGGGCTAAGGCAAAGCAGTTTCCGCAAAACACCCTACAATCATCACCACCATGAATGAGTAAGAGAGAGTAGAGAGAGAATGTGTGGTCCAGATACCAAATTGTTCATTTTAGATGTCAATACATCGTCCAACAACAGCAACAACAAAGAACACGACCTTATCCTGTAGGCCATCACGTCCTTTATCGCCACCCCTCCCCCTCGGAACGCTGGGCTCTCTCGCGACCAGTTGCTCTCCATCACCAGGACGCGTTGGAGATCAAAATCCATGACCATGACCTGCGCCAAGCCGAAGTTCCCAGGAGGCCGGAATGACATCACCCGGGGTCTCCCACGTGCCCACCGCACGAGAGCTCTCTTCAATCTACACCACCTTGGGGGCGGTGAAGAAGCCGTCTTCTGTGTGCTGGGCCGCTCCTAGTACTTCCTTTTGTATGCCTCCATCTGATACCACGTCCTGCCAGTATTGTAGTTTGTTCGGGAGGGGCAGGGGGTTGTAGGAGGGGAGGTCGTTGGCGGCACAACATGAAGGGCGGGCGGAGAACGTCAAATGACGAATGATGAGAGCAAGCGGTACGGGGCAAGCAAAAGTCGTCAACTTGGGAAAAGCAAAACCATCACACACCAGTAGCTATCCGTTGGGCCAACCTCTCAGGGGGGATTCATAATCCGTGGTTACCGTTGGTGCCCCAAGGTAGGCACGGAAAACATTGTGCGTGTTAGTGAAAAAATCGCAGCTCATTTGGAACTCACCTCTTCCAAAGGCGCGGCCCAAGATACAGCTCCCCCCCAAGGTCCGTCCTCGCCTTCTTCCCCTTCCATTTCTTGGTTACCCCTGCGCCCGCCGCCGCCGCCGCTACTGTCGTCGTTCTCCCTTCGCATGGTCTGCATGCACCTTAGCATAGCCCCAACATCTTTCTTTACGGCGGAGACGTCGAGGCCCCCGTTGCTGCAGCTGTCATCGGCGCCTTCGGGTGCGAGTTCGATGTGCGCAAGTGCGCACAGCTTGGCCACCTGAAGTTCGTTGATCGACGAGGTATGTACCCCCCAAGTTTCGCCACCCAACGAGGAAGCATGGAGGAGGTCGGTCAAGCAGGCACCAAGAGGAAGGTCGATACCACAAGGTTCCACCAACACATGAGACAGAGGCAAACACGACAACACGGACCAACCAACCATACCGTGCGTGCCCTAAAGGTTTTCCCTACGGTTCCATGACTACGATCGGTTTCTACCATCCCGCAAGCACCTAAAATGTTAATGAACCTTGGCAAGGACAATGTGGGGAAGCTTCCCCCATCGGTTGGCGAGGTGATGCCAGCGGGGGCGTCCCTCTATTCGCTCCGCTTCAGCCAAACTGCTCCTCGAGAGGGCTACATATACATCACGTTGGGTGAGGAAAGTGCTTCTTCATTTTTCAGCTACACGTACGTATGGACCAGGGTGGTCCACCACGGGGACCACCAGCACCACAGCCAGCAGGTTCGGTTTCAGCAAGCCCTCCACGTGATATCAAACTCACCCCACGGAGACAAGGGTCCTCCTTGTTGTGTTCGACGAAAGCGGTTATGGGTGTCAACAAGTTTCTCATTCATCGAAGAGTGAAGAAAAACGAAGCCAACAATGCGTACACGATTGGATCGGGACCCGCGCAACCATGCGTTGCGCGGATTCCCTCTAGACAAAACAGGGAAACGCTCCTGCTGGTAAAAACGGTTACAACCCCGGAAGCACTTCGTATGTGTGTACAACACGGCCGCAAACAAGCCCATAGCCCCCATAGCTCGGTTACGGGTTTGCGAGTTACTTTCGCACCTGGACCAGTAAATTCTGGGCGGCTCAACCGCCAGCCATGGCAAAGGAATTGAGGCAAACGTCAGAGTTGGTCAATACAGCAATGCCGTTGGAGCCCTTTTCTCGTGGACTCGATGTCTTGATATCAATATACCTCCCGCTCTGCCCGAGATCATGTATGTCTAGCAACAACCCAACTTAACTACCAAACATGACTGGAGACATCACACCCCCCGGACCGAACTTCAAAGCTCGATTTCTCCACAGCAGAAAGAGTGGCCGTGCCCGAAAATGGCGGCATTGGAGCCGTCTCGTCGAGAGCTTTCCGAAAACGTATCGTTTCATTCATGCACCCTACTCGTCGAGAAGAAATCGAGATTTGAACATCGGTCTTCTGCAGGGACTGTGGTATCTCATGACACCGACGGTATGCATAGAATACATACATGAATGCGTACGAGCATGCATACATGGCGCAAAAAAGGGAGGGGAAGAGAGACGGGTGGACGTAACGTCATTGGTACATCCTACATACACGGGCCGTGTTGCCACGATGGTGGCGCGTGCATGCCATACCAGAAGAGACCACGACGCCTCGAGCATATCTGGCGTGAAAACGACCGGGGTCAGACAGACCATTGAGCAGCAAAAGCTTCAACTTTCCCTTCTCTTTAAGATCGTGGGTAACACCTACAATACCTCCGAGAGAGGGAGGGGATCAACTCCTTAGCAGTTGTCCTCCATCAAAGAAAGTCATGCAACCAGCCTACAGCAGCATTTACCTACACAACCCGACACCATCTCTGTAGTTGCATATGTATACATCTACAAGGCATCCCTCCGGAGTGGCGTAAAGAGCGCACGGCGGCAAGGGGTGATGCAAGAACATACAAAACCTAATAGCAGAGAAACAACAGCATTAAATGTATACATCGTAATTGCTGTAGATATGCCAATAATTAAAGGATTCGCGTCAGGTCGGCGCGAGCTTGTTTACCAACGATTTTCTGGATTTGTTTTGGATGAAAGCCCGCAGTCGCGCCGATCGATCGATAACAATATATGTGTAGGCCGACCTGCCGACCTCCAGACCTCGGGCTCGGCGGTCTGCACGGAGATAAGTGCACTGCTCTGCATCTCTGCTGACACCGCCACGAGTATATTTATCGATACTCTAAAGAGATCCTTCTGGAGGATTTTGGCTGCAAAAAGAAGCATCTGGGGTTTTTGGGTTGAAAGCCCGCAGTCGATCGTATGGATGTGAATATATGTGCATGTGCCGGCCTCCTGACCTCGGGCTCGGCGGTCTGCACGGAGATGTGTGCACTGCTCAGCATCTCTGCTGACACCCCCACGACATACACATTGCTCGACTGCTGCTGGAAACTACATACTTGGGGCTGACTGTTTGTAGTTCATTCAGTAGTCGGACTCAATCATGGCCTCATGGCCATCAGCAGAAGGACGAGTTGATTGAGCGACGTCCATGAAGCCGTGTTTTTCTGTTTTTCTCCACGCACACACACACACACTCGAAAGGGCAACGAAGAACAAAATATGTATACATGTGCGTTTCCAGCGTGCAAACAGTATCAGGTAGTGACCGTAGCATCGTCATGTCTCAAGAATCCGGTGGGGATGAGGCGAGACGAGACAGACAGCAGTCCGGAACATCTCCCCGGTATGATAGACATGATAGAAGACAGCCAGACCTGAAAAAAAAAAAAAAACGAGCTGAAATTGGTTCGGTTTGTACCGCCTTTCTGCATGTACGCTGGGAACGACTCTGCTGTGTTCTCTTTTCCCCACACGTACACGCTCGCTCCACAGCCGCTCTGACAGCTGCCGCGCCAATGCTCAGCTGATATTGTTGGCACGTGTTGACACATGGTTTAACATCAGATCAGAAACAGCTTGCACCGCGTACGTTTTTGGTTGAAGCTGACGTCTTCTGCCGGGTTGTTCGACACGATAGGCCCGACTCTACCCGACAGTTGACGCGACAGATGGCCAGAATCAGTGCGTGGTCTTCCTACAGCCGCAGGAAAACATTCTGGAGACTGTGGGGGAGCTTTACATATCTGTAAGATAGGGGTGTGTCTAGCTATTTTGACCTCTCTTGAACCGGCAATTCTCTGAAAGTGAGCTCTCGTAAACCGTAGCCCCCACTGTAACTAGTCTATGTTGTATGGATGAATAGTACAAGGCGTCCCTCCTTAGTGAGGTAACGAGAGCACCGCGGCAGGGGGTGATGCAAGAACATGCAAAGAGCAAACGCAGATAGATATGGTTTAGATTACAGAGTACACTGGATGTTCGTTCCTTCCACACTCCGCATTTATTTCTGATGCTGCGTCTCCCACCGCTGCGGATTCCAGGCCGCCAAACGACTTGAAATTCATCAGAACCGTATTTTCGCCCAGGAAACACACACACACACACACCCTCGCCACAGGCGGGCGGAGAAGCGTTGCCTTCGCGCGTGTAGCATGCAAACAGTATGTTGTAGGGCAGTGACCGTGGCATCATCATGGTGTGGGTCGCACATTCCGGAGAAAAGAAGAGGCCACATGGATGGAGATGTATTTTTTGTGAAGGTGAGACGGATCGAATGAATCCACAGACAGGAGCAGCGCGCGCGCTTGTGTGTGCTTGTCAGACATTCAACGAAAGATGGATACACGTAAGCAGATATAGCCAAATTATCACGCAGTAAAATACATACATACATAGCACGCATGTACGTACTGTGCACCCATGATGACGGGGGGGGGGGGGGTACTCATAG